TATAGCGTGGGCCTTAAGGAACTCTGAGGAAGGAGAGTGCTGACAGGTTACCCCTTCGAGCGTGCGTTCATCATTTGATAATCTACGCTCCTCAGACTGGTGTAGATTTCTGTACGTTAGATGCATCATACACAATATTGCTGCTGCACAACTGACTAATGTGGTATTATTGCAACACAGAGGCATTTCATCATAAAACCAAAAGGTTTTGAGAATAAAACAAAACAGTAATACAATCAGCGTTCCTGGCTCAATCTATTATATAAGTTGTGAGAAACAACCTCATTGCACTTGGCCGGATTAGAACCTGGCACCACGGAGATGCCAATATAGGACAGAGTAATTTAATTCAATACCACTGCAAACGTCGGTTCATTCGTGTTTCTAATTGATACACCTAAGAACCAGTGTCAATGTTGTCATTTCAGAGGTCAGTGTATACCATGCCCATACATGCGTCTGATGGCAAGAATCAGGTAAGACGGTTTCAGGGGATTCACTGTTTAATTCAGGCCAACTTTTAAAGTGTTTACGAGCAAATTGATCAAACACATACGAACTGAACATATGTATATGTCTCTTGTTTATATTTGTTTGAATTACATGACTTGAATATACATAGAGGCCATCTTCGTTTCGTAAGACCTCATTAACATGGCATTAGTGCCGTGACGTTTTTGAACATGGCAGTTTGGTTTTTCATCGTTACCTATAGACATGGATCGTTGTCCGGACTAATGCCGGTTTTATAGTGCTAGCTCACTCAGATAGCATGCGGCAGTTTAACATGGATACCCTACTCAGACACGGTGAACTGACTCTGAGCCGACCAGTCCTTGTTTTATTGCTTAATGCCGAGCGCCAGTCGGTGTAACTAGACTATGTTTTAATGTTTTGCTGGGGATCGAACCAACCCCCAACCTTCCGCCCTACGAGGAGACGCTATATCCACTCGACCACGGAGGCTAGAGATATATCCAATGGATATCGTCTCATATGTATCTACGGTCAACTCTATGTTCACTACAGGACCTGCAGGAGAGTAGGTATAGAGAACTTTGTATTGCTTTCCAGACGAGTGCAGTGGTCTCGTTAATTGACCTTGAGTTTAGTCTACCCCATGCAGACCTTGAGTTTAGCTTACCCCCATACTGACCTTGTGTTTAGTCTACCCCCATACTGACCTTGTGTTTAGTCTACCCCCATACTGACCTTGTGTTTAGTCTACCCCCATACTGACCTTTAGTTTAGTGTACCCCAGACTGACCTTGAGTTTAGTCTACTCCATACTGACCTTGTGTTTAGTCTACTCCATACTGACCTTGAGTTTAGTCTACCCCCATACTGTCCTGAGTTTATATTACTCCATACTGACCTTGAGTTTAGTCTACTCCATACTCACCTTGAGTTTAGTCTACCACCATACTCATCTTGAGTTTAGTCTACCCCAATACTGACCTTGTGTTTTGTCTTCCTACATATTGATCTTGTGTTTAGTCTATCCCCATACTGACCTTGTGTTTTGTCTTCCTACATATTGATCTTGTGTTTGGTCTACCCCAATCCTGACCTTATGTTTTGTCTTCCTACATATTGATCTTGTGATTTGTCTACCCCCATATTGACGTTGTGTTTTGTCTTCCTACATATTGATCTTGAGTTTAGTCTACCCCCATACTGACCTTATGTTTTGTCTTCCTACATATTGATCTTGTGATTTGTCTACCCCCATACTGACCTTGTGTTTAGTCTACTCCATACTGACCTTGAGTTTAGTCTACTCCATACTGACCTTGAGTTTATATTAGTCTACCCCCATACTCATCTTGAGTTTAGTCTACCCCTATACTGACCTTGAGTTTAGTCTACCCCCATACTGACCTTGTATTTAGTCTACTCCATACTTACCTTGTGTTTAGTCTACTCAATACTGACCTTGAGTTTAGTCTACCCCCATACTTACCCTATAGTTTAGTGTACCCCATACTGACCTTGAGTTTAGTCTAATCCCATACTGACCTTGAGTTTAGTGTACCCCATACTGACCTTGAGTTTAGTCTACCCCATACATACCTTGTGTTTAGACTACCCCCATACATACCTTGTGTTTAGTCTACCCCCATACTGACCTTGTGTTTAGTCTACTCCATACTGACCTTGAGTTTAGTCTACCCCATACTGACCTTGAGTTTAGTCTACCCCCATACTGACCTTGAGTTTAGTCTCCTCCATACTGACCTTGAGTTTAGTCTACCCCCATACTGACCTTGTGTTTAGTGTACCCCATACTGACCTTGAGTTTAGTCTACCCCATACATACCTTGTGTTTAGTCTACCCCCATACTGACCTTGTGTTTAGTCTACTCCATACTGACCTTGAGTTTAGTCTACCCCATACTGACCTTGAGTTTAGTCTACCCCCATACTGACCTTGAGTTTAGTCTCCTCCATACTGACCTTGAGTTTAGTCTACCCCCATACTGACCTTGAGTTTAGTCTCCTCCATACTGACCTTGAGTTTAGTCTACCCCCATACTGACCTTGTGTTTAGTGTACCCCATACTGACCTTGAGTTTAGTCTACCCCATACATACCTTGTGTTTAGTCTACCCCCATACTGACCTTGTGTTTAGTCTACTCCATACTGACCTTGAGTTTAGTCTACCCCATACTGACCTTGAGTTTAGTCTACCCCCATACTGACCTTGAGTTTAGTCTCCTCCATACTGACCTTGAGTTTAGTCTACCCCCATACTGACCTTGTGTTTTGTCTTCCTACATATTGATCTTGTGTTTAGTCTACCCCCATACTGACCTTGTGTTTTGTCTTCCTACAAATTGATCTTGTGATTTGTCTACCCCCATACTGACCTGTGTTTTGTCTTCCTACATATTGATTTTGTGTTTAGTCTACCCCCATACTGACCTTGTGTTTTGTCTTCCTACATATTGATCTTGTGTTTAGTCTACCCCCATACTGACCTTGTGTTTTGTCTTCCTACATATTGATCTTGTGATTTGTCTACCCCCATACTGACCTTGTGTTTAGTCTACTCCATACTGACCTTGAGTTTAGTCTACCCCCATACTCATCTTGAGTTTAGTCTACCCCCATACTGACCTTGAGTTTAGTCTACCCCCATACTGACCTTGAGTTTAGGCTACCCCCATACTGACCTTGTGTTTAGTCTACCCCATACAGACCTTGAGTTTAGTGTACCCCATACTTACCCTATAGTTTAGTGTACCCCATACTGACCTTGAGTTTAGTCTAATCCCATACTGACCTTGTGTTTAGTCTACCCCATACATACCTTGGGTTTAGTCTACCCCCATACCTACCTAAAGTTAAGACTACTCCATACTGACCTTGTGTTTTGTCTTCCTACATATTGATCTTGTGTTTAGTCTACCCCCATACTGACCTTGTGTTTTGTCTTCCTACATATTGATCTTGTGATTTGTCTACCCCCATACTGACCTTGTGTTTAGTCTACTCCATACTGACCTTGAGTTTAGTCTACCCCCATACTCATCTTGAGTTTAGTCTACCCCCATACTGACCTTGAGTTTAGTCTACCCCATACAGACCTTGAATTTAGTCTACCCCAATACTTACCCTATAGTTTAGTGTACCCCATACTGACCTTGAGTTTAGTCTAATCCCATAATGACCTTGTGTTTAGTGTACCCCCATACTGACCTTGAGTTTAGTCTAATCCCATACTGACCTTGTGTTTAGTCTACCCCATACATACCTTGTGTTTAGTCTACCCCCATACTGACCTTGAGTTTAGTGTACCCCATACTGACCTTGAGTTTAGTCTACCCCATACATACCTTGTGTTTAGTCTACCCCCATACTGACCTTGTGTTTAGTCTACTCCATACTGACCTTGAGATTAGTGTACCCCATACTGACCTTGAGTTTAGTGTACCCCATACTGACCTTGAGTTTAGTCTAACCCCATACTGACCTTGTGTTTAGTCTACCCCATACAGACCTTGTGTTTAGTGTACCCCATACTGACCTTGTGTTTAGTGTACCCCATACTGACCTTGTGTTTAGTGTACCCCATACTGACCTTGTGTTTAGTGTACCCCATACAGACCTTGTGTTTAGTGTATCCCCATACTGACCTTGAGTTTAGTCTACCCCCATACTGACCTTGTGTTTAGTCTACCCCCAAGGGCAAGGCCATTCTGCAGCTGCTGGCCACCGACGTGGACACTGGAACACCGGGTGTTATAGACAGCTACTACATTCGGGTAAGCAACAACCTTGGGATACATACCTTGTAGTGTAACCATTTGTCATTTGAAAATAGATAAGAGAAACTGGGAATATAATTTGAAAGTGGTTGCTTCACAGATGTCATGCATGTTGTATATGTATATGATTATACCCTGGTATAGACCAAGGTGATTTTGACCTTGGTGATGCTTCACTTCCTCCTTCCTCCTTTCTCCTTCAGAGCACTGACATCTTCATCAAGAATCACTTGGCCATCATCCCCCCTGCCTCGGGGCGCCTTGTTCTGGTCGAGCCGTTGTCATCCATGGCCAGACGCAAAACACTGGAATTTACAGTCGGGGCACGGGTACGTCAACACTGAACAATACCTTCAGAATGAGGAACTTGCGTATATGTAGAACAGGACGTCACTTCATATTGCCTCACATACTATACTATAATGTAATGTACTGTACTGTTTCTTACATGCATTATATATTATCAGGCCATTGTCATGTCATCTTGGATATATCGATGATGTAATTTTGTCAGTGTCTCACAAGACCAGTGGCATTTCACAATGAAAGAGAATTGTCACTGTGACACTGACATGTGAAGTCTGCAAGTACGTCAGATGTGTCGGAAACTGAAACATGAATGTACTTTTGTCAGGATGTACAGGGGATGACCGGCTTCACTCGCGTCATAGTGATGATCTCTACTGATCCGACTACAACCCCCACCACCACCACCCCCACCACCACCATCACCACTCCCAGCATAGGTGAGTTTGATTGTGACACTCAGTCGTATAACATGTCAGGACATATAGCTGATCGTTGGAGGTACGTAGTTAAACTGGGTTTGAAGCACGAAAATCTCTTGGATCTTTCACGGCATATAAATACTTTTCTTGCAATATGTCAAGTAGTAGTACAGTATTTGGTATTGATTTCTGGACATTGCTGTAGAAATCATGGATTAACCTAGGCAATACAAAACTCTGATATCACGGTTGATGGCACGCGATAATGACACAGGTTGAATGTGACTGCAGTCGTAAATAGATTATCAAATATTAAGCCTTATCTTGTACCTTTAACATTATTAACGTTCTCCTCCCTCACTTCTCAGGGACTTGGGGAAAACGTGGTGTTGTTGCACATTCAGGTTGGATGTTGGTATGTAACACATGAGAATGTGTCATTGCAGTTCCACGACCACCGAAGATACTGACCAACAACTCCGATATGGATGAACAAATGTACTTCTCGGAAAGCGAGGGCACTGCTTTGCTCCTGAATTGTGAAGCTGATGGCTACCCGCAACCAAGGTCAGTGGACCAAACATTGAGTATCTATGTCCTATATATATCTGTTGGCTTCAGTGGCAGTGTAACTAAAAAAGGGCATGTCATCTTTGTATACTGGCTGTTTCAAGGAATAGTACCATTGCTTCTCGGAAGATTCATAGAGATATGTTGGGTGCACTGTATGAGCTACCTGATTCTGTCTCATCATACCTTGATGCCACATGCCTCTGGTTGAAGACCACATATGACGCCTGGTCTGGTCCAGGGCCAAAAATAACACACTGGCTGTCACAGCCTATCTAGAACATTGCCAGGAACAATGCTGGCTCAGCTACTGTCAGCACAAGGTCAGTCCACAACGTCCACTAAATATACTCCGAGGGGATTCCGTGTTAGCATCGGTCCCCAGCAATCTATACTTGTCGTAGGAGGCGACTTTATGGACTGGGTTGTCAGGCTAAGAAATTTGGTTGATATTGTGTCATTGTACTCTGGATGGATCGTTGCTCATAATATCCATGACAGTATTCTCTGGTCCAGACTCGGTTATTTACAGGTCGACATCATACAGCTGGAATGTTGCTGAGTGCGGCGTTAAACAATGAAAACAAAACTGATGAGATATAGGTAGCGACTCTTATGCATGTTGGCTCAAGGAAATATTTTAGATCATACTTGAAAACTAAAACATTTCCCTACAATTTCAGTTACAAGTGGGAGAAGAATGGCAGATCGTTTGTTTTGGGTGAGAACATGTCACTCAACAACGGAACACTCGTTATTTCTGGACCGACAGCAAGTGATGGTGGTGCTTACCGCTGTTTCGCAACCAATATGTTGGGAACTAGTGTAAGCGCCAGATTTCATCTGATGGTTCGTTTCCTCGGACGTTTCCCCAATATTCCCAGAGCTGAGATGACTGCAGTTGTAGGGGAACATCTGACCCTTGAATGTCTGCATCCCTCTTACTCATCGGAGTATATTCAGATGGACTGGGAATATAACGACAAGTCTTCCACAGCATTTGAACCTTTCGTGCCCAACACCCGCATTGTGCAGGATGCATGTGGTAAGTTTTATCCGACCCTCAACACACATCTTCCATGTACCTTTGTTGGGCGGTAGGGTAACCTAGTGGTTAAAGCGTTGTTTGCATTGCCGCAAGACCTGGGTTCGATTCCCCACATGGTTAGAAGAATGACAATCCTCAGTGATATCACTGTAATTGCTGAAAGTTGGTTAAAACCAAAGTCACTCACTCGATGCACCACTTCCACCTGGAAGACCTCTCCTGATTTCTATCAAGGACACGGTTCATTATAAAGATGCTACTACTCACTGTGTTACTCTGTATGTGAATGCAATTCTATTTCTAAGACTCAAGGGTGATGATTGTCTGCATTTTGCTTTCAGGCAGTTTGATATTCCGCAGTGTTGAGGAGGGAGATTTTCCCGTTGGTCGTGTTTTCCGCTGTCTTGTCTCCATAGGCCAGATTGTGTCAACTACCAGTACCAACATAACAGTCAACTTGACAGTCGTAATAAGACTGGGTATGTCATCCCAACTTGACAGTCATAATTAGACCAGGTATGCCATATCAACATAGCAGTAAGAATTAGACTGGGTATGTCATCCCAACTTAACAGTCATAATTAGACTGGGTATGTCATCCCAACTTGACAGTCATACTTAGACCAGGTCAGCATAACAGTTAGAGTTAGACCAGGTATGTCATCCCAAGATAACAGTTAGACTTCGACCAGGTATGTCATCCCAAGATAACAGTTAGACTTCGACCAGGTATGTCATCCCAACGTGATAGTCATAATTATACCAGGTATGTCATCCCAAGATAACAGTTAGAGTTAGACACCAGGTATGTCATCCCAAATTGATAGTCATAATTATACCAGGTATGTCATCCCAAGATAACAGTTAGACTTAGACCAGGTATGTCATCTCAACTTGATAGTCATAATTAGACCAGGTATGTCATCCCAAGATAACAGTTTGACTTCGACCGGGTATGTCATCCCAACTTGATAGTCATAATTAGACCAGGTATGTCATCCCAAGATAACAGTTTGACTTCGACCGGGTATGTCATCCCAACTTGATAGTCATAATTAGACCAGGTATGTCATCCCAAGATAACAGTTTGACTTCGACCGGGTATGTCATCCCAACTTGATAGTCATAATTAGACCAGGTATGTCATCTCAAGATAACAGTTAGAGTTAGACACCAGGGATGTCATCCCAAGATAACAGTTAGACTTCGACCAGGTATGTCATCCCAACTTGATAGTCATAATTAAACCAGGTATGTCATCCCAAGATAACAGTTTGACTTCGACCGGGTATGTCATCCCAACTTCATAATCATAATAAGACCAGGTATGTCATCCCAAGATAACAGTTTGACTTCAACCGGGTAGGTCATCCCAACGTGATAGTCATAATTAAACCAGGTATGTCATCCCAAGATAACAGTTAGTGTTAGACCAGGTATGTCATCCCAACTTGATAGTCATAATTAAACCAGGTATGTCATCCCAAGATAACAGTTTGACTTCGACCAGGTATGTCATCCCAACTTGATAATCATAATAAGACCAGGTATGTCATCCCAAGATAACAGTTTGACTTCGACCGGGTATGTCATCCCAGGATAAAAGTTAAACTTAGACCAGGTATGTCATCGAAACTTGATAGTCATAATTAAACCAGGTGTGTCATCCCAAGATAACAGTTTGACTTCGACCGGGTATGTCATCCCAACTTGATAGTCATAATTAAACCAGGTATGTCATCCCAAGATAACAGTTAGAGTTAGACACCAGGTATGTCATCCCAACTTGATAGTCTTAATTAAACCAGGTATGTCATCCCAAGATAACAGTTCGAGTTAGACACCAGGTATGTCATCCAAACTTGATAGTCATAATTAAACCAGGTGTGTCATCCCAAGATAACAGTTTGACTTCGACCGGGTATGTCATCCCAACTTGATAGTCATAATTAAACCAGGTATGTCATCCCAACTTGATAGTCTTAATTAAACCAGGTATGTCATCCCAAGATAACAGTTAGAGTAAGACCTGGTATGTCATCCCAACTTGATAGTCATAATTAAACCAGGTATGTTATCCCAAGATAAGAGTTAGAGTTAGACACCAGGTATGTCATCCCAAGATAACAGTTAGAATTAGACACCATGTATGTTATCCCAAGATAACAGTTAGAATTAGACACCAGGTATGTCATCCCAAGATAACAGTTAGACTTAGACACCATGTATGTTATCCCAAGATAACAGTTAGAATTAGACACCATGTATGTTATCCCAAGATAACAGTTAGAATTAGACACCAGGTATGTCATCCCAAGATAACAGTTAGAATTAGACACCATGTATGTTATCCCAAGATAACAGTTAGACTTAGACACCATGTATGTCATCCCAAGATAACAGTTAGAATTAGACACCAGGTATGTCATCCCAAGATAACAGTTAGACTTAGACACCATGTATGTTATCCCAAGATAACAGTTAGAATTAGACACCATGTATGTTATCCCAAGATAACAGTTAGAATTAGACACCAGGTATGTCATCCCAAGATAACAGTTAGACTTAGACACCAGGTATGTCATCCCAAGATAACTGTTATCCTAACATGACCATCCTGACCTAAGTCTTCAGCAACCCATGCTTGCCCTAAGAAGGCAACTAAGCTTGTCGTAAGAGGCGACTAACGGAATCGGGTGTTCAGGCTCGCTGACTTGGTTGATGCATGTCATCGTATCCCAGTTGCGTGGATCGATGCTCATAACGTCAATCACTGGATTGTCTGGTCCAGACTCGATTATTTACAGACCGCCGTCATATAGCTGGAATATTGCCGAGTGTGGCGTTAAGCAACAAACAAACAAACATAAGAGTAGTTCCACCCTTACATAAAATCTTTTCCTTTCCATCAATTCTCAAATTGATAAAGTTGGGGCAGTAGAAGTACAGAATAGGATCCCTGTGTGATGGATGTCTCTCTATTTGCTCTCAGTCACTGGTTTGCCATGTCCAAACATGCTGGTTGACATGCTATGTTGATATTTGTTCATTTATACATTTGTATTTCATAAAGTCCTATAATTTCTTCAGGTATTGATGGGTCTGCTGGGAAACTCCCAAATTTGATTTACTCCAGCGCAAACCACGTGACAGCTGTAGCTGGACATCCACTGACGATGTACTGTGTGTACGGTGGGAGGTACGGTCACCATGCGGTCATTCATCAGGCCCCTTGTTTGTGGCCTCTGTAACTTGTGGTTATAGTCTCACCATCTCTTTAACCCGAGGTTACAGTCTCACCACCTCTTTAACTTGTGGTTACAGTCTCACCATCTCTTTAACCTGAGGTTACAGTCTCACCACCTCTTTAACTTATGATTACAGTCTCACCATCTCTTTAACCTGAGGTTACAGTCTCACCACCTCTTTAACTTATGATTACAGTCTCACCATCTCTTTAACCTGAGGTTATAGTCTCATCACCTCTTTAACCTGAGGTTACAGTCTCACCATCTCTTTAACTTGACGTTACAGTCTCACCATCTCTTTAACCCGAGGTTATAGTCTCATCACCTCTTTAACTTGTGGTTACAGCCTCACCATCTCTTTAACCTGAGGTTACAGTCTCACCATCTCTTTAACTTGACGTTACAGTCTCACCACCTCTTAAACTTGACGTTACAGTCTCACTATCTCTTTAACCTGAGGTTATAGTCTCACCGCCTCTCTAACCTGATGTTACAGTCTCACCATCTCTTTAACCCGAGGTTACAGTCTCACCACCTCTTTAATTTGTGGTTACAGTCTCACCATCTTTTTAACCTGAGGTTACAGCCTGACCACCTCTTTAACTTGTAGTTACAGTCTCACCATCTCTTTAACCCGAGGTTACAGTGTCACCACCTCTTTAACTTGTGGTTACAGTCTCACCATCTCTTTAACCTGAGGTTATAGTCTCACCGCCTCTCTAACCTGACGTTACAGTCTCACCATCTCTTTAACCCGAGGTTACAGTCTCACCACCTCTTTAATTTGTGGTTACAGTCTCACCATCTCTTTAACCCGAGGTTACAGTGTCACCACCTCTTTAATTTGTGGTTACAGTCTCACCATCTCTTTAACCTGAGGTTATAGTCTCACCGCCTCTCTAACCTGACGTTACAGTCTCACCATCTCTTTAACCCGAGGTTACAGTCTCACCACCTCTTTAATTTGTGGTTACAGTCTCACCATCTCTTTAACCCCGAGGTTACAGTCTCACCACCTCTTTAACTTGTGGTTATAGTCTCACCATCTCTTTAACCTGAGGTTACAGTCTCACCACCTCTTTAACTTATGATTACAGTCTCACCATCTCTTTAACCTGAGGTTATAGTCTCATCACCTCTTTAACTTGTGGTTACAGTCTCACCATCTCTTTAACCTGAGGTTACAGTCTCACCATCTCTTTAACTTGACGTTACAGTCTCACCATCTCTTTAACCCGAGGTTATAGTCTCATCACCTCTTTAACTTGTGGTTACAGCCTCACCATCTCTTTAACCTGAGGTTACAGTCTCACCATCTCTTTAACTTGACGTTACAGTCTCACCACCTCTTAAACTTGACGTTACAGTCTCACTATCTCTTTAACCTGAGGTTATAGTCTCACCGCCTCTCTAACCTGACGTTACAGTCTCACCATCTCTTTAACCCGAGGTTACAGTCTCACCACCTCTTTAATTTGTGGTTACAGTCTCACCATCTTTTTAACCTGAGGTTACAGCCTGACCACCTCTTTAACTTGTAGTTACAGTCTCACCATCTCTTTAACCCGAGGTTACAGTGTCACCACCTCTTTAACTTGTGGTTACAGTCTCACCATCTCTTTAACCCGAGGTTATAGTCTCACCGCCTCTCTAACCTGACGTTACAGTCTCACCATCTCTTTAACCCGAGGTTACAGTCTCACCACCTCTTTAATTTGTGGTTACAGTCTCACCATCTCTTTAACCCGAGGTTACAGTCTCACCACCTCTTTAATTTGTGGTTACAGTCTCACCATCTTTTTAACCTGAGGTTACAGCCTGACCACCTCTTTAACTTTTAGTTACAGTCTCACCATCTCTTTAACCCGAGGTTACAGTGTCACCACCTCTTTAACTTGTGGTTACAGTCTCACCATCTCTTTAACTTGTTAAAGTGTCAAATGATGTGAGAGAAGGTTCATAGTCCAGCATAGTTCAGATCAACCAATACATCAGTTGATATCAATACATGAACGATCAGTCGACATTATTGTGAAGAATATGGCAGCTTCCTAAACCTTGTGGTTACAGAAAAGTTGTAGAACAAATGAATGTTTACAATGTACAGATGTTGGGCAAATGTCATCCAGACAAGCTCTAACCGTCCTTCTTAGTGCACTTGCACCACATTAAATCTATGTATGAATGTATCTCGACTTCTTTACCCAATGTACAACATCCACTAAGTCGTTGAACATTTACCTTGCTCAGACCTCTACCCAGCCAGTCGTGGACAACGAGTGTGGGGACAGATCGACAGTGGACAATAGGGTGGACACTGAGTTTTACATTGCCTCTGTGGGGACGGAGGATACCGGCACCTACAACTGCTCAGCCACCAACCAGCGGGGAACCAGACAGACTAACTACGAAGTTACAGTTGAAGGTGAACTAGAGTCCTTCCCCCCTCTCAGCTTTCAGACCTTGCTCGTACACAGTGCAGAGCGTGAAGGCAATCAAAACACGGGGCCACAGTTAGTGAGTTGGGTTTAACGTCGCTTTTAACAGTATTCCAGTTATATCACGGCGTGTCAGCTTAGTGTGGGAGGAAAGCCCGAAGTGACGCAGGTCTCGGAAGTTTACCACTTCGGTGAAACCCCAATGGTTTCAAAGGGGTTGGATATATTGATACACAGAGTGTACTCATATATACTCAAAACACTGTCTTTGAAAAACATTATCATTGTGAAAATGTATGTTCCCATATCCCAACAATTCCATGATCATACTGTGCTATGGTGGAGTTGTGGCTTCTGGGTAGGCCTCGGAGATTTTTATGGATTGTTATAAACTGTGTACATTCTAGTGGCGTTGTTCTGTGAAGGGTACGACCGAACAGTACCCAGGCCGAAAGCCAAAAACAGAACTATACCCTAACTGGCATGCTACTGCAGAGAGTAGAGCAGCTGGATGAGTTCATGAGATGGTGAACAAACAGTTCCGGCCAACAGGAAGACTTTCTGTATATTTCACTGCCCAGATCCTTTCTTTTAACCAGAACTATCTCATTTCTACACCCCGTCCTGCCACAACCTGTTTTCTTATTTCTACCAGGGCACATTTATGCATACAGAAAAGTTTGTTTGTAAGGCCAGACGTTATTACCAATTGGTATATGACTCCATCCGACTCCAAATATTAAAATGGTTTAAAAAATAAGACATGAAAGCGGGTTTTTTTCCGCCGACCAGAAATAAGTCCAAAAAATTTTAAAAACCACATTATTTACTGTCCCTCTCGATAATTTTTTTTAATTATTTACAATACTATAATTAAAACCTGTTGACAACGAATTATAACGAATCACTATTCCTTTCGCCCCTACATTTGTACCTACTTAATATTTTGAAGAAATCCAGAAAAATATGTTTGAAACTGGAATTTATATTTTATAATTTTTCGACATACCGAACTGAATTTTGGAGCACTGTAACCTGTAAACCAATAAAAATGAATAAGTCTGGCCTAATTGAATTGCAACACTCATGTTCATGCTGACAAACAAATTATTATTTCTTCATAGAAAAAGCAATATTTACATCCAAGTTAGAAGATCAGAGGCTGATGGAGCTGTCTGGAGGCGTTGCTTCATTCAAGTGTTTAACCCATGGAAACCCAAGCCCTAAGATTGACTGGATCATTAACGGCCAGCAATGGGCACAGTAAGTACATTTACCTCACACAACTGTCTATCCAAGCGGCTTCTTTTAGATGGGGGGCATCACTGATGTGGATCTCATCATTTCATACCATGGCTGCAGTAGTCTGGTTACAGTAGGTGGTCAGTTTAAATAAATAAATGTAGCTTATTACATTTTTTGCTTTTTCTCTATTTGGAAATTTAATACCATAGAACAACAAGCGTTGACAGATAGGAGTTGATGCACAGGCAAAGCAAAGATCGAATATAAAGGAAATCATCTTTCTGAAAGAATTGAATTATCTAACATGTTGAATTAGTAATCTTTGATGGTTTATTGCATATATATCTATATTGAATACCATCAGTTTACATTTCCAAACTCATAAACAAACAATGCTCAAAATATGCATATTTGTAATGGAAACATGGCCTTTCAGGGCAGATCTGATCTTGTTTATGTTACCAGTTACGATCTTCAAGTTAAGTCAAAGTAAAACTATTAAAACCATCTAATATACAGTCAAGCTTTCACTAGTTATTATTTTTTTTCTTTTTACAACAAAATATGGCAGGCTACACCGTAAACCTCGTGTGTGGTCCGACGTTCCTGAACTAAAACATAGTGCCATAGCTCACCGGGTAATACATTTAACAGACAGTTGATGGACTCTCAAGCTGTCCCACACAGGTGTAATATTTGACGTCCTTGTGTTCCAGGACTACATTATTGCAAACAACATTCCAGTTTCTATGTTTGAATATTTCAGATGCTACTTCAGCAGCTGCCGTGAGAGAAGCACGCGTGGAGATTCACCAGGGTACTCTGGTGATGTCGGGGGCAGGCCCGGGGGACCAGATGGTTGTCGGGTGTATGGCCTTTAATCGATACGGCTCTGTGTACCAGGAAGCTAGACTCATCTGAACCATGTACACAGTACACTTGCTGACAATTCACTCTTACAGATCCAGATGACATAGTCATGCTATTCCCGTTGGAGATCAGGTCGTCACAGTTGTAACTGAGTAGGAATGATTCTTGGCTATAGAACTCAGGGAAGATCAACTCTCAACTAGGACCTGACAGATGTTATTGTACGGTTACATGGGTCTGTGATAGTGGATTGTTGCTCACACCATCTGGGAAGATCACCTCTCAACTAGGACCTGACAGATGTTATTGTACAGTTACATGTGGGTCTGTCACAGTGGATTGTTGCTCACACTATCTGGGTAGATCAACTCCCAACTAGGATCTGACAGATGTTATTGTACAGTTACATGTGGGTCTGTCACAGTGGATTGTTGCTCACACAATCTGGGAAGATCAACTCCCAACTAGGATCTGACAGATGTTATTGTACAGTTACATGTGGGTCTGTCACAGTGGATTGTTGCTCACACTATCTGGGAAGATCAACTCTCAACTAGGACCTGACAGATGTTATTGTACAGTTACATGTGGGTTTGTCACAACGGATTGTTGCTCACACAATCTGGGAAGATCAACTCTCAACTAGGACCTGACAGATGTTATTGTACAGTTACATGTGGGTTTGTCACAACGGATTGTTGCTCACACAATCTGGGAAGATCAACTCTCAACTAGGACCTGACAGATGTTATTGTACAGTTACATGTGGGTCTGTCACAGTGGATTGTTGCTCACACAATCTGGGAAGATCAACTCCCAACTAGGATCTGACAGATGTTATTGTACAGTTACATGTGGGTTTGTCACAGTGGATTGTTGCTCACACAATCTGGGAAGATCAACTCCCAACTAGGATCTGACAGATGTTATTGTACAGTTACATGTGGGTCTGTCACAGTGGATTGTTGCTCACACAATCTGGGAAGATCAACTCCCAACTAGGATCTGACAGATGTTATTGTACAGTTACATGTGGGTCTGTCACAGTGGATTGTTGCTCAAACCATCTGGGAAGATCAACTCTCAACTAGGACCTGACAAATGTTATTGTACAGTTACATGGGTCTGTGATAGTGGATTGTTGCTCACACCATCAGTGAAGATATTACAGCGAGAGCCAAATTTAATTGTTACTAGATTCCCAAGAAAGTCGGTAACCGGAAACCCTAATTAGTATATATATATATTAATAGAGATTACAGTGATATTGGAGGTAGCTTACATAAACCGCGTCACTTAGCACAGATTGAAACTCTTATAGCTGTGAAAGGAACAAGAAAACTATGGGGATATGGACAAGCATACAAACCACGATTACATGATCTCTGCACAAGAAATCAAATGTATATATAACATCGAAAGTTAGTTATCTTGGGGCATGGAACAGATTTGGAAGAAGCAAGTCTTGAGATTTAATATAAACATGATTAAAATTGTATGATGCTGTAAAAAGAAAATATGGAGTTTGGGTGAAGATGTGTAATCATGAATTGGACGTATGAATTGTCAATAAATCTTAAAATTTGTGTTGCCTTGGATGCTGTTACTAATAATAGACTCCAGTGAAAATAAGTGTTTTGACAGTATTTAGAACAACCATAGCCATGACACCTCACTACTGATCTCCACTCGACATCATGCTGATGACCAGACTCACATGTCCACAGGCTACCAACACTTGCCAGGAGGTAAGCACAGAGCAAACTCCAGTATTTCCCAACCCAACTTAATCTGTTTTCTTTGCCTTTTCATATTCTTGTATAAGTTATATATACATTTCAAACTGAGAGTCTATGTAAATAATGTGTTCATTGTGTTGTCATGCATCAATATTTCACAAAGTAAAATCATTAATGCCATTTTGATATTGGCACAAGGTAAACTATGTTTAACATGCAAATAGACAAATGAAATGATTAATCTTCATAAGTAATTCCTCATAATAACAAAATTCAAAAGAAGCTGCAAAACATTAAAACGAAAACTCATCTAAGTTCCACCTAGACACATGCCATAATTGGGATTGTATTCAGCATTAAGAACATTAAATGTAGTGTGGAAACACTTGCCATCTGATCATCCAAATAAACCCCACTGAGGATGTACCTCCACCGTGTCCACATGTTTGCAACCTCACAAGTGTGCAAAGTACATATCAGTGTGCTCAGATGCCAGTCATTATCACAGAAAAACAGGAAGTATGTATGAAGACATAAATGCTAAAAGAACTGCCCATGAAATGTGTGTTACACTGAAAGAAGCGCAGTACACTCTCACTATCACCCTTGTTTGTTTCAATGGGCATCTACAAGTGAGAAACTACAAGTATATAGAATGTTTCAATAAGCCCCTTTAAGTTCATAGAATGTTCCAATGAGCACCTACAAGTATATAAAACACTCCAGGGAGAAAAACTACAAGTACATAAAGTATTCCAGGGAGAAACTACAAGTACATAGAGTATTTCAGGGAGAAACTTCAAGTACAGAAAGAATTTCAGGGAGAAACTACAAGTACAGAAATATTTCAGTGAGAAACTACAAGTACATAAAGTATTCCAGTGAGAAACTACAAGTACATAAAGTATTCCAGTGAGAAACTACAAGTACATAAAGTATTCCAGGGAGAAACTACAAGTACATGAAGTATTTCAGGGAGAAACTACCAGTACATAAAGTATTCCAGTGAGAAACTACAAGTACATAAAGTATTCCAGGTAGAAACTACAAGTACATAAAGTATTTCAGGGAGAAAATACAAGTACATAAAGTATTTCAGGGAGAAACTACCAGTACATAGAGTATTTCAGGGAGAAACTACCAGTACATAGAGTATTTAAGGGAGAAACTACCAGTACATAAAGTATTCCAGGGAGAAACTACAAGTACATAAAGTATTCCAGGGAGAAAAACTACAAGTACATGAAGTATTCCATGGAGAAACTACAAGTACATAAAGTATTCCAGGGAGAAACTACCAGTACATAAAGTATTCCAGGGAGAAAAACTACAAGTACATGAAGTATTCCAAGGAGAAACTACAAGTACATAAAGTATTCCAGGGAGAAAAACTACAAGTACATGAAGTATTCCAGGGAGAAACTACAAGTACATAAAGTATTCCAGGGAGAAACTACCAGTACATAAAGTATTCCAAGGAGAAACTACAAGTACATAGAGTATTTCAGGGAGAAACTTCAAGTACAGAAAGTATTTCAGGGAGAAACTACAAGTACATAAAGTATTCCAGTGAGAAACTACAAGTACATAAAGTATTCCAGGGAGAAACTACAAGTACATAGAGTATTCCAGGGAGACCCTACAAGTACATAAAGTATTCCAGGGAGAAACTGCCAGTACATAAAGTATTCCAGGGAGAAACTACAAGTACATGAAGTATTCCAGGGAGAAACTACAAGTACATAAAGTATTCAAGGGAGAAACTACAAGTACATGAAGTATTCCAAGGAGAAACTACAAGTACATAGAGTATTTCAGGGAGAAACTTCAAGTACAGAAAGTATTTCAGGGAGAAACTACAAGTACATAAAGTATTCCAGTGAGAAACTACAAGTACATAAAGTATTCCAGGGAGAAACTACAAGTACATAGAGTATTCCAGGGAGAAACTACAAGTACATAAAGTATTTAAGGGAGAAACTGCCAGTACATAAAGTATTCCAGGGAGAAACTACAAGTACATGAAGTATTCCAGGGAGAAACTACCAGTACATAAAGTATTCAAGGGAGAAACTACAAGTACATAGAGTATTTCAGGGAGAAACTACCAGTACATAAAGTATTCCAGGGAGAAAAACTACAAGTACATGAAGTATTCCAAGGAGAAACTACAAGTACATAAAGTATTCCAGGGAGAAAAACTACAAGTACATGAAGTATTCCAGGGAGAAACTACAAGTACATAAAGTATTCCAGGGAGAAACTACCAGTACATAAAGTATTCCAGGGAGAAAAACTACAAGTACATGAAGTATTCCAAGGAGAAACTACAAGTACATAGAGTATTTCAGGGAGAAACTTCAAGTACAGAAAGTATTTCAGGGAGAAACTACAAGTACATAAAGTATTCCAGTGAGAAACTACAAGTACATAAAGTATTCCAGGGAGAAACTACAAGTACATAGAGTATTCCAGGGAGAAACTACAAGTACATAAAGTATTCCAGGGAGAAACTGCCAGTACATAAAGTATTCCAGGGAGAAACTACAAGTACATGAAGTATTCCAGGGAGAAACTACAAGTACATAAAGTATTCAAGGGAGAAACTACAAGTACATAGAGTATTTCAGGGAGAAAGTACAAGTACATAAAGCATTCCAGGGAGAAACTACAAGTACATAAAGTATTCCAGTGAGAAACTATCAGTACATAAAGTATTCCAGGGAGAAACTACTAGTACATAAAGTATTCCAGGGAGAAAAACTACAAGTACATGAAGTATTCCAAGGAGAAACTACAAGTACATAAAGTATTCCAGGGAGAAAAACTACAAGTACATGAAGTATTCCAGGGAGAAACTACAAGTACATAAAGTATTCCAGGGAGAAAAACTACAAGTACATGAAGTATTCCAAGGAGAAACTACAAGTACATAGAGTATTTCAGGGAGAAACTTCAAGTACAGAAAGTATTCCAGGGAGAAACTACAAGTACATGAAGTATTCCAGGGAGAAACTACAAGTACATAGAGTATTCCAGGGAGAAACTACAAGTACATAAAGTATTCCAGGGAGAAACTGCCAGTACATAAAGTATTCCAGGGAGAAACTACAAGTACATGAAGTATTCCAGGGAGAAACTACAAGTACATAAAGTATTCAAGGGAGAAACTACAAGTACATAGAGTATTTCAGGGAGAAAGTACAAGTACATAAAGCATTCCAGGGAGAAACTACAAGTACATGAAGTATTCCAGTGAGAAACTATCAGTACATAAAGTATTCAAGGGAGAAACTACAAGTACATAAAGTATTCCAGTGAGAAACTACAAGTACATAAAGTATTCCAGGGAGAAACTACAAGTACATAGAGTATTCCAGGGAGACCCTACAAGTACATAAAGTATTCCAGGGAGAAACTGCCAGTACATAAAGTATTCCAGGGAGAAACTACAAGTACATGAAGTATTCCAGGGAGAAACTACAAGTACATAAAGTATTCAAGGGAGAAACTACAAGTACATGAAGTATTCCAAGGAGAAACTACAAGTACATAGAGTATTTCAGGGAGAAACTTCAAGTACAGAAAGTATTTCAGGGAGAAACTACAAGTACATAAAGTATTCCAGTGAGAAACTACAAGTACATAAAGTATTCCAGGGAGAAACTACAAGTACATAGAGTATTCCAGGGAGAAACTACAAGTACATAAAGTATTCCAGGGAGAAACTGCCAGTACATAAAGTATTCCAGGGAGAAACTACAAGTACATGAAGTATTCCAGGGAGAAACTACCAGTACATAAAGTATTCAAGGGAGAAACTACAAGTACATAGAGTATTTCAGGGAGAAACTACCAGTACATAAAGTATTCCAGGGAGAAAAACTACAAGTACATGAAGTATTCCAGGGAGAAACTACAAGTACATAAAGTATTCCAGGGAGAAAAACTACAAGTACATGAAGTATTCCAAGGAGAAACTACAAGTACATAGAGTATTTCAGGGAGAAACTTCAAGTACAGAAAGTATTCCAGGGAGAAACTACAAGTACATGAAGTATTCCAGGGAGAAACTACAAGTACATAGAGTATTCCAGGGAGAAACTACAAGTACATAAAGTATTCCAGGGAGAAACTGCCAGTACATAAAGTATTCCAGGGAGAAACTACAAGTACATGAAGTATTCCAGGGAGAAACTACAAGTACATAAAGTATTCAAGGGAGAAACTACAAGTACATAGAGTATTTCAGGGAGAAAGTACAAGTACATAAAGCATTCCAGGGAGAAACTACAAGTACATGAAGTATTCCAGTGAGAAACTATCAGTACATAAAGTATTCAAGGGAGAAACTACAAGTACATAAAGTATTCCAGTGAGAAACTATCAGTACATAAAGTATTCCAGTGAGGTGAGGTGAGGTGAAATTGGGTTTAACGTCGCGTCCAAGATTATTGCACTTATATAGCGACGTGCATGCACGTGTATGTGTGTGTGTGGCTGCTTGTACTAGTCCGGACTGATGCCGATTTATAGTGCTAGCTCACTGAGATACCATGCCGCAGTTTAACATGAATACCTCACTCAGACACAGTATACTGACTCCGAGCCGACCAGTCCTTGTTTTAGCCCCTTAATGCCGAGCGCCAGACAGGGTAACAACAAGTACAATCTTTTAACGTCTTTTTGTATGACCCGGCCCGGGATCGAACCCTGGACCTTCCGCTCTCCTGGCGGACGCTCTACCACAAGACCACGGAGGCGGTCTTATTCCAGTGAGAAACTACAAGTACATAGAGTATTTCAGGGAG